TAACACTACTATAAATAGTAACACATTAATGATGTCAGTATAAATAGTAACACTGAAGTATATAGTAACACTATTACATGTTGCTTGAATGTGCATTAATTAAAAGCAAATGTATTTTTATATTATTATTATTATTATTATTATTATTATTATTATTATTATTATAAAAACGAACCAAAAGAAGAAAAAATACTATACTATTAAAACCACAAGGATGTTATTATTATTATTATTATTATTTAGAGTGTATTTTACTCCTAACCGAGCTCTATCAGGCCTAGCTCTAGTGGGTCTTCCTGGGACTAAAGGTTACATTAATATCGTATCAGACTCTCAGATTGAAGGGAATGAGATAATACTGCAGGTACCTTTCATCCTCTCCCAGTGCCCCCTCGGCTACACTGACCCACCTGGAGCTGCTAGTATCAGTGAGGTAAGATGTTACTATATTTAGAACAGTAGTGTCGATATTATTCTAATGTTAGTAACACCAATGTTGTTTAAACTATTAATGCAGTGTTAGTGACTATAGTCTTTTAAATCTAAAAATAGATAAATTTTATTATAATGATACTGATACCTAAATCTATTTATAGTAACATTATTATGACGATAACTATATATAGATCTATTCTTTATTTTAAAAGGTACTGGATCTTATAAATGAAGAGTATCTGACGATACAGCGAATACCTTCCTCGCAGCCGCTGGCCTGTCAGTGCTACTCTCCTCTCTCCTTTGGTTCAGCTGCTCAGTTCTACCACCGCTCCTGTATTCTTGATTACACCGTTAAATTATCTAGCGCTTTGTGGGCGGGGCTCATACCAATTAACACCTCAGAGGTTAACGAGTTGGCAACGGTTTCTTGTCCTTCACCTAGTCCAGACTCTTTACTGATAGAGGATTCTTTGACGTCACTAATAAATTCGGAGAGAGAGAAACAATTATTAATCCTCGGACAGTCGGAAGACCCAAATGCAAACCCAGTTGATGTCATACCATACAATGGAGTGATAAGAGCTGGAGGGGGAGCCCCTGTACTCTGCTACTCTAATCACACTATCCAGGAGTTGGTTGACTTTAAATCCGATGGGGTTTTCAGCGTAGATTATTGTAGTTTGGGTTTTTGTAGAGGGAACTCAGAATCGGACTGGTATTTATCCGATGTTGATTATCCTTGTGTTGAGACTAGGGAAGGTGTCCTTTGTGGTCATTGTAAATCAGGTTTATCCCAAACTGTTACCACTACGGTAAGAATTTGATACATAATAATACATGTACATGCACAGTAAAAATATGAAGAAAATAAAGGTTTAAGGCATCAAAAATCTGTCATTATGCATTTTAATTTTTGTTGCGTTAAAGTTTCTTTATAATCAAGACGTTCTTAATAGTTGTTAAAATCATTATCTGAGGTTTAACTCACTCTATTTCTCTGCTTTATTTTTACATATTCATGTTCTTTTACATTTATTTTTGTAGGTGTGTAGGGATTGCTCCAGTCCCAGGTGGTATATACCATTATTAACAACACTCATTGGTGGCTTCCTACTGGTGGCTCTAGTGACTGCTTTTAATATTGGGGTCTCACCTATTTTTGATGTCCTCTTGTTCTTTGTACAGGTAAATGATGGAAGAATCACCTCAAACTTGCTACACAGCATAAGGACATCAATATGTATCAGAAAATGTAATAAAAATTAGGGGTGATTTCGGATCCATTTTTTGGAAAAAACCATGGGTCTTGGGTATTTTCAGAAAAAGTCTTGGGTATTTTTCAGATTTTGGCTACTTTTTAAAAATGGCCGTAACTCGAAAAATTGAAGTTGGAATCAACTCAAACTTTCTACACAGCATAAGTATATCAATATGTATCAGAAAATGTAATAAAAATTTGGGGTGATTTTGGAGCCATTTTTTGGAAAAAAAACCATGGGCTATAGCCTTGGGTATTTTTCAAATTTTGACTAATTTTTTAAAATGACCGTAACTAGAAAAATTGAAGTCGGAATCAGCTCAAACTTTCTACAGAGCTTAATTACATCAATATGTATCAGAAAATGTAATAAAAATGGGGGATGATTTCGGAGCCATTTTTAGGAAAAAACCATGGGCTATAATTATAATACCCAAGGCCCAAGGTTTTTGCTTTTTGACTTTTTATAAATGCTAAGTTATACATGCTCATAATATATATCATGCATATGCGTTAAGTAGAATTAATTACTGTTTAATGATGTTTCTATCTCTTCTCTATAGAGTGTTTATGTTGCTGTCAGTAATCAAACTGGCTATGAGAGCTTCCTCTCTATTTCAGTCTTCAATCTTGACTTTACACTCGACCAATGCATCACTTCTAATCTAGGAGCCCTCACCAGACTCCTCTTACAATATGCAACACCAATCTACATCCTCCTTTTCCTACTGACCATAATCTCACTGACAAAGATCAAAAGAGTTGCTAAATATCTTGGTCAGCACTCCATCCTCCATGCACTCTGGCTCCTGATACTAATATCATACTTGAACATAGCCAAGACTACTTTTGAGATAGTCCATTGTCAGAATATTGGTCCTCTGGATGACAGGAGATATGTATTAGTATATGATGCTTCAATACAGTGCTGGTCAGGTGGGCATCTTGCTTGGGCTCTGATAGCTGTTCTCCTAGCTGCTTTCTTTATACTGCCTTTTCCATTTTATGTCTGGCTGGCCACTCAATCTCATAAATTGAAGCCAGTCTCTGATGTATATACAAGCATATACAAAGATACTCATCGTAACTGGGTGGTCTGGAACCTCCTTTATAGGCTACTTATTGTCCTAGTTGGAGTTTTTGTAGTCAATTTCTTCTACAGACATTTCTCTCTGCTGTTGTCATTTGTCGTAGTCCTGGGTATATTCGTATTATTCAGACCTTATCATTCTCCTATTGATAACCTTTATGGAGGCTTTGTTGCTATCTGTCTAGTTATATTCTCTATTGTCACCGATCCATTTTCATCTGAGTATCTTGATCCACACAGAATAGTCAGTTGGTTGATAATGTCAATAGTATTGATTAGTGGTGGTTGTCTACTGATACTAGAAGGAGTTTTAAAATATTTGCGATACAAAGGAAAGTCGTATACTAAAGATGACGTGTTGAAGTCTTGCAAAGATCGTTTGCTTCTTGTAAAAGAGAAATTAAAGAAAAGAAGAAGTAGTTTATTGATAAATGCTTCAGTCAGTCCACCTGGTATAAGTTCAAAAGGTTACATGCCGTTTCGTGAGCCACTGATTGACAGTGAGCAGTATATACCATCAGAAAGTCAGAGGAATATTGAAAACTCGAGGAGCATTGAATTTGTTGAAAATGTTAAAGAGAAACATGTCATCACATCTAGTGTAGTCTCCCTCACTAACTCACTAGTGTGACAAATAATAGTTTAGGTAACAATTTATAATTATTTTTTGTGAATTTGGTGTGTGTTTTATTTCTTTTAATTTTGCAATAACGTATAGCTAGAAATTTCTGTGGCCCAAAATTTTTGTGAATTTGAAAAAATTCGCAAAAATTAAATCCTCAAAAATAAGTAAATTAAAAGGTGTGGATTTTAGTAATGTAAATTTTAGTGTAATTATAGTGAAGCACATGGCGTGTTCTTGGCACTGTTCCAGTACAATTTTAAGCAGAGTCAAAGAGTAATCCTATCTTGCCTAATATCCTGATAGAGCTTTGTGTCATCATCAACCATAGTTCTGGTAAGTAGTGAAGAGCAGCCATTGATCAGTAGTGTGATCAAGTGAATTCGCAAAAATAAAATCCGCAAAAGCCATTTTCTGGCAATTCGCAGAAATTTTGGGCCACAGAAATTTCTAGCTATACGGTAAGACATCAGGCTTGGCTGCCCGACTGAGATGGCCACTGGTGGATCAGGTTAGCTCTTGTGTCAGTATCAAGTGTTAGTGTTTGATTCACTTTATTTCACTTTACATTAGGAAGGGATACTAGATATGAAGGATTGTTACTATATGAGGAGAAAGGTTTAAATGAATATGTAGCAATATTTACTGTAACTAAAGATAGAGACACATTTTATGATGTAAGTATAATTATTATAATGAGGTATACTATGTACATGATGTGTATTAATGTGTTTATTTACAGTATAGGGACAGGAAGCACCCTAAGGCAGTTAAGGGAGGTTCTGTTATCTCCTTTACATTTGACCAGCAGCAAGACTCTACACTTACCTCAAGAGGTGATTATATTGAATTAAAGTTTGATACTCCACAAGCTAAGCCAACCACTGGATGGATTATTAAACCTCACACAGTACCTTGTAGAGTAAGTACTAGTCAGCCTACACTCAGACGGTACACTTCTCTAAACACCAGAAGTGTAGGAAATTGTATGGTTTCTATCATGTCAGAAGTGATAGCCATACTATTTTACTTATTTCTCTTACACAGATGATTGAGTAGTGCTGTAACTAGCACCATTAAAAGAGGAGAAGTTGCTTGTCATTAAGAAACAAGTTTGGTTTTCATGTGCAAAGTATAGGCAAAGATATGTCACCGTGAAAAAATTTTGTTTAATAAAGATTGTTTGACTTTGATTTTTGTACAATCATTCACAGAATACGTGGAACCTCTACAGTCTTTCCACTGACTTATGAAGGTCTAGTCTACATGTCCTGCTAGTTTCAATCTTAATGGAGAAGATATAGCTATAGAAAAAGAGCCTTAAACTCGGTCATAATCAGGCGGCCTAAAGTCCTTGATTTACAAGAGTTCTTATTTTACCAAAAACAGATAGAGCCAACTCTCCTCTTTTCTATTACCAAGAATGAGCTTTATCCATGCCTTTGCTTTGGAGATGCACCTTTACTTGCACAGCCACCATTTTCATTTCTAAAGGCCTTCATACATGAGGCAACTTGTTGCTAGCAACCCAGCAACATGTTGCCAAAAATAGAACATCTTTCTATTTCTGGCAACATGTTGCTTACAAGATC